CTGTCTGCATTCACAACTTCTTGATTATGTCATTCATTCATTTATGATCATTTGACCGTTTCGTGCATTAACTGATACTATCGTGATGGATCGGTCTTTCTGAGAAGAATTTTGTTCGTTCGTATTCTCAACAGCGTAATGATAGACTTCGAAGGAAATAAGCCGTAATGACGATATAAAATAAGATTAGCTCGAGAGTGAGGACGGGACGTGCATGCGCGATACTGTGACAACTAGTATTTGTTGGTCTTACCGGGGACGGAAAGGAAAAATAGGCAGAACTTGTTGCGTACTATTACCGATAGGTTACTAACCAATACTGTTAGTGTTGTCACGAGTGTTATCGTATTATCATTATCATGCTATTATTAAAACACTGAACAAACGGAGTCACTATCGTTTTCTGATGGCATATGATGTTGTGTCCCTAAATCAGTGTGAGAAATGACTTTCGTGGTTTATGATAAATGAATAACGATGATGACAATATCGGTGATAACAACACTGAAAACATTACTAGTTTAGCTGATAGGAATAATGGTCGTAGTTGTGTTGATGGTGGTGATGGCATAGATATCCATCAATCCCACTAAGAACAGTGATTTTCATAGTCGTACTGATAATGAGTAGTGCATAAAGCAAGATATGTTATTAGTTGAAGATTGCACTAAAGTATAATGTTAGTTCGATTGGACACGATGGAATAATCATCGAATGCGTTCAGTGCGTAACGATGAACAACGTAGCGAATGCATTCAAGATTTATGCTTAACAAATTGACAAAAATAAATTTCATTTCTCTATCTCTGTTCTTTTCAGTTAATGCACGTAAATATTTTGGTGTGCACATTTCTCGGCTGATGTTTAGTCGTTAATTTGCATCTATTCATAAGTAAATATGTTTAGGCGTTGGTGGCATATGCACACAGAGCATTTGTACGATAAAAGATTATTCGTTCTTGTTTCCAAAATGATGATGATCACCAATAGAAAATGATGTCCCTTTGAGTTTTTTGTTCGCGTGTATGTGTGACATTGATGTGTGTGTGTATATTTGTGCAATAATCGAATTAAAAGAATGCGCTTTAAGGTGTTTATTTATGTCATCAGATGAACAACGTACAGATTCAGAAACAACGAAGCGAACAACCGGTTCGATTGATCGCTTGAAGGCGAGTAATATAAAAAGCAACAAATCAAAATCAAGTGACCACCGTCAAAATAAACTCGCCAAAGTCGGTAAACAAGAGGGTATTGATGAGGATGAACAGGAGGAGGTACGTGTACACGTTCACGCTTCTTTATCATTTCTCATCCGCAATATCCCCCCGTGTCAGTTCCTCTGCACTTAAGATCAATAGTGTACACCCGCCATCACCATCAGTTTCTTTGGACTTTAACCAAAGTCGCAATTTTCGTTTACTGTCGATTTCAGATTCGAACTTATAGTTGAGTTAATGATTATTACAAATCGATCAGTACAGGTTACGGAGGTACGTTAGACAGCAATGATGAGGATGTGCTATCGTTATGACCAAAACCCAACATCTTAATTCGATTTAATCTTTTTGTTATCTGCTAAACTTATTGCCAAAGAACTGATATAAACTGGTATATTGGTATTTCATTTGAATAGAGCAAACAAAAATAAAGTTTATTATAGGAAACGGAAAGAAATGGTGATTCAAACGAAGAGAATAAATGCGAGAATGCGAGTGGATCGAATCAAAAAATTGAATCGAATGTGGAAATTATCAATGTGACTGTTGAACGACAGCAAACTGTCCAACATCAGTCATCTGAGGTGTGTTTAATCTAGACTCTCGGCGTGTATCTTCATTCTTTTTGCTAGAAACATCACGCTGTTGCCTAACAAATTATTGTTTTATTTTTGAATTTACTACTATCATAATGAGGTAACAGACTTAAGGAAGTAATCACAAATGTTTAAAAAAAATATCGGATGAGTAAACAAACAGTAAAATAATAGTGATAAC